TTGCGCCGCCCTTTGTCGTCGCCGTCGCCCATGCGCATTTACTGCTGCGGCGCCCCGTGGTTCGCGGGGCCGGAGCGCCCCTGGAATTTCGCCTGGCCGCCCGCCCGCGGAAAACGACGATCACGACGCCGCGCTTGTCACAGGGCCGGGATGATCTTGGGAGGGACTTTGCCGGTTCCATTTCGCGGTTGCTCTGCCCTGCTCTCCCTCGGCTCTGGCGCGGTGCCGCTCGGGCGCGCCGCGCGCGCCCCTGCGGGGCGCGTTGCGCGGTGCTCCGCGGCAGGTCTCGCAGAAGTTTTGAATTAGCGGAATGCTCGGTCGTCTCAAGGCCAAAAACCTTGGCCCTGGCCTCTTCGCAGGCGCCGTTCGCGTCGCAGCGCGGCCTGGCGGGGCGCCCCAGAGTGCTCCGCAGGGCCCTGCGCTGGGCCGCGCTGTCCCGCGGAGCGCGCGCGGCGCTCGGTCCGCGCGCCGCAGCGGCCCTGCGGGAGGAGGGTTCTGCGCTGCGTTCGCATTGGGTTCTGCGGGGGGGTCGGTCGCTTCCAGGCACAGCCTTGGCCGCGCCCTCTCCACGAGCACCGCCTGCGGGAGGGGCCGGACGGAATGCCCGGGAGCATTCCAGATTATTCCGCGCCAGGCTGGGCGCGGCGCGGCTGCCCCGAGGGGGGCTGCCCCACGGGGCGCGCTGCGCGATGCCTGGGCCGCGTGCTGCAGCGACCCCGAGGGGGGCTGCCCTGCATATCTGCGTTGGCCCCTTCCTGGGAAATCGCGGGCCTTCGGGCCGCGTCTCTTTGTGCGCCGCCTATTGTCGTCGCCGTCGTCCATGAGCAATTGCTACCGCGACGCCCCGCTGTTCGCGGGGCTGGAGCTCCCCTGGAACTTCGCTCGGCCGCCTGTCCGCGGAAAACCACGATCGCGACGCCGCGCTTTTCGCGGGGCTGGGGCGCTCCTCGGAGGGACTTTGCTGGCCCGCCGGCCCCTGCAAGACATTGCCGCGACGCTCCTTTTCCCGCGGGGCTGGAACGCCCCCGGGATGAGGTTTGCCTGGCCGCCTCTCCGTGCAAACGCGCTGCCGCGACGTCCCGTCATGTCGTCGTTTTCTTATTCGTTGTTTTGCCGATCGGCGCGGGCCCTCGCCCCCCCCCCCCCTTTGGGTAGATCCGGGGCGTTCTGGGCGCCTGTTTCGGGTGGGCGGGGTCTCTCCCCCACGGGGCGCACCGTTGCAAACAGTCGCACTGATTAGACGTCAGGGGCCAGATCCCCCCCCCTCAGCCCAACGTCGTAACGCCGAGTAAGAGAACGCTCATCTTCCGCTGCTGGAATGGTTCCAGGAGGCGCTTCGGCGGGGGACCAGTCCATGCGAGACCATTGCCGCGACGCCCCGCTGTTCCACGGGGTTTGGACGCCTCCGGGAAGAACCGCTGCGCCTGGCCGCCAGCCCACGCAAGACATCTACCACGACGCAATGTTTTACGCAGGGCTGGGATGTTTCTAGGAGGAATTTCGCGCGCCCGCCAGTGCGCGCACTACCTCTACCGTGGCGCCCCGTTTGTCGCGGGGCAGGGATGTGTCTAGGAGGAGCTGCTGCGCCCGGCCGCGAGTCCACGCGAAGCCATTACCGCGAACGCCTAGTTTTACGAGGGGCTGGGGTGTTTCCAGGGGGAACTTCGCGCGCCCGCAAGTGCACGCGCTGCCGCCGCCCGTTTTTCACAGGGCTGGGGCGCTCCCAGCGGGAACTGCTGCGCCTGGCTGCCAGCCCATGCGACACCAGCACAGCGATTTGTTTTTCACAGGGCTGGGGCGTTTCAATCAGGAGGGAAAGAAACACACAGACACAATTAATCGTCGACTCCCAGGAAAATATTGGAAAATATGGGAGGTAGGGGGGAAGACAAAAACCAAGAAAATATAGGAAAATATGGGGAATCATTTTATTTGTGTGTATTTATTTGTGTGTCCTTGGGCCCCTTGATTCAAGGAGGAACTGGCGGCTCGCGAGGGCCTCCGCCGATCTCATCGAAGGCCTGCCTCGGGGCGCGCGGGCGGCCCGCCGCGCGGCCCGCGCGCGACCGCCTTCGCAGCCCGCCCCCTCGACCCGCCAGCTGCCCGCCCGTTGCCAATTGCACATGTCGTTCGGTTTCGTCTTGTGGACCCCGCCACGCATTTCGGCACGCCCCCTCACACGGCTCGTGGCCCCATAGGGAGCGCGAGCGAAGATGATAATTCACAATTGCGGTATTCACAACTGCACATGGTTGGGTCCTTCGCCACGCTAATTTTGTTCCTCCGGTTCCCCTGTGTTTCTCGAAGGATCCTGGGCCATTGGCAGACCGCCCCTGCGCGCCGCTTCGCGGGTGGAACTCTCCAGCATGTTGGTGATGAGCTGTTATTTCCGTTGCTGCTGGCGCAAAGTGAACCAATTGCCATCTCCTTCCCAGCATGCCCTCTTGTTCTTGTAGTCCATGGGCGTTCACATCTCTTCCATCACCGGCCTGGCGAAAAGGAAAAGCCTGTGGCCAGGTGTCACATAAGTCAAATCTCCACGAAGTGGCCTCCCAGGAATGAGAGGACCACTCCACACGCCTTCGCCTCGCCCGTTGAGTAGTTCCCATAACCGAAGTCCCTGGAGCATGGGAAGAACTTCATGTTCTCTACCGGAAAGCCCTTGGCTACCAGCATATTGCAGTAGTCCTTGAGAGTCTCGTGGCCCACGATCATGGCGGTCGCTCCACTGTCGTGAACTGCTTCTGACGGATCAAGTTCAATGTCGTTGTACGTCTGCTCAGGTTCCGCGTCGGTAGCCATCCTGATGTCCGCTGCATCTTCTGCCACATGTTGTCGCCTCCTGCTCTAGTGTGGGCAGTCTCGGGCCAAGTGTCCACGACCGCCGCACCCCATTCATATCGTCTTCTCGGTCGCATGCGGGGTACCTCCCTGTGGCGATTTTTTGCCAGGGGAGCCTCCTCCAAAGCCTGCCTTGCCTCGTCCTTTCGGCGCTGCCGATGATTCTCTGCCTCCAGCTCGGCCACGTGATGCTCCTCTTGCGCCTCCGCGTGCTCGGCCAACTCCTCTGGGAATGACCAGCGCCGTGCTCATTGATGGCTGAGGTTGTGGCGGTACCGTGGCGAAATCACAGTAAAAATCCCAATCATAGCCTCATGTCATTCATCTTCTTGCCGTATACGACCATGATATCGTCATACCCGTCCACCTGTTATATGCAGCCTAGTCCAGCGTCGGGTTGATTGCGGCAGTCTCGCTGTAGTAGGCTAGCTCTGCGTCGAAGCCGCTGGTGCTGGCACCGCTGTAGTGCTCCACCTGCTGTTCGTCGCCCTCGTCGTGGTATGGGTGGCTACCGTCTTCGTCTCCGTACTAGGCCTCCTCTGGGTAGGCTGCTGCTCCTGAACTTGCTCGTCGTGATGGCAATGAGTCCAGTCCAAACGTTTTATCAATCTTGCTCTCGACTTTGCCGAGCGTCAGGTGGTCGCCGATCGCATTCATGATATGCTGATTGACTTCCTTGTCGAGCCCAGCCCTTGAATTATAACACCGTCCCAGCACTTCGTCAGGTCTAGCCACGTCGTGTGAACGAACTTTCCCTCCCTGCTGCACGGTATCGGGCCAAGTAGAGGATCAGAGGTTCTTTGGGCTTCCTGGCTGCTGTGAAGAAGAAGAAGTTCTCGAAGTCGGTCGGCAATTCCGTTATTTGGTCGTACTTCTACGCGTTGTCTACAGCCTCCAGTATGGTGATCCAGCCTTTCTCCCTTTCGATGGTGATGATATCCAGATCTTCGACCACCTCCCATGCACGGCCCCGCAGGCCTCGTATAACCTCGAGACCTAAAGATTTCTCAGCCTCCTTGCTACGAGCTCTTGCTGCGACATATGTATGCACTATCCACATTATTCTTGAACGTCTTGTAGCTGTTGACCGATCCATCGAATTCAGGTGCCCGGCACGGTAGATCTGTCCCTCTTGCTGTTGTCCTTTACGTTTGGCCGTTGCCGCTATATTCGCTCTTGGTGGACCCACGGGTTTAGAATATTCGTCCGTGGAGCGGTCTCTCTGCTACCAATGTCAACTCGCCGGAACGCTCGAAGTCTTCGATCGTATTCGAATCCGATTCCAGTTCTCTGCCGAAGCGTCTTCGCACTCGCCCTCGGAATCGCCCAGCGCCCGAGGGAGGGTGATGGTACTCCTTTCTGCCAAGTCGAGAGGCCTCTCGAACGAGAGCGGCCACGGTACATCTCTCTGCTCACCCGCTTGCTATGCATGGTTGCTGCTATTCATCACGCACGCTGCTTGCTGACAGGGGAAGGGAAAGGCTAACCCAATATGCTTCATGCTATATGCTATAGCCTTTGAAGCACCTCCAACAGACACCCACACACACACACACACACGCACACACACACACGCACACACACACATTGTATGGAGTACAGATCACAGGAGGAGGAGGAGGAGGAGGAGGAGGAGGAGGAGGAGGAGGAGGAGGAGGAGGAGCAGCCCGCGCCAGCGCTGCGCCTGCCAACCAGTGGGCGGAAACGGAGGGCGAGGAGGCCGAGCACGAATGAGCACGAGGCTGAGCACGCGGCGCACGCGGAGCACGACGAGGGGGGCGAGAAGGCTGCAGAACACGGCGACGACCGCAGCGGCGGCCGCCGCGGGGGGGCTTCTGGGCCTATGCAGAGGCCCCCCCCCCGAGGGCCCGAGGCGGGCGGGCCGAGAGACCGCCCCGAGCCCTCCGCTCCACGAGCACCGGGCGCCGGGGGGCGACGGCGGGCGGCGAAGGGCCGGGCCCGGGGGCCAGCACCAGCACGGCGCGGCGGCGGCGGCGACAGCGGCGGTGGTGGCCGCAGTGGCAGCAGCGGCAGCTGTGGCGGCGGCAGCGGCGACGACGATGACGACAGCGACGACGGCGGCGGCGGCGGCGGCGGCGGCCGCGGCGGCCGCGGCGACAGCGGCGACGGCGACGGTGGCGGTGGCGGCGGGCGGCCAGGCTCGGGGACAGGCTCCAGCACACGGCGGCCAGCACGGACCAGGCCAGAGCCCCTGGGCGCCAGCGGGCCGCCGTGTCGTCGTCGTCGTCGGCGGCGGCGGCTGCGGCGGCGTCGTCGGACTCGGCGTCGTTGTTGTCGTCGGCGGCGTCGGCGCCGTCGTCGTCTTCCTCCTGGTCGTCTTCGTGGACCTCGCCCTCATCATGCTCGGATCGTTCTTGTGCTGCCGCCTCGTCTCTATGAGGAGGGTGCGGCGGCTGATACCGTACCCGAAACTCTGTCCGATTACGGCCGAAGCCTGCGCCAGACTTCTGTGGAGGTCCTCGAGCCTCCAAGCAGAAGGCTTTTGGACACTCAGCGCAGAGGGCAGATCTGCCCCAGGGGCCCCTTGCCTGGGCCCTGGGAGGCCCGGCCTCGACGGGGCCTCCACCGGCAGCCCTGAGGTCTTGGACCACCGAGCGTCTTGCCAACCGTAGCGCCTGAGGCTCTTCCAGACGGGACACCGTTTCTGGGACCGAAGGTTTTTGTCGGGGGGCCCATGTCTTTGGAGCTGGCACATGTTTTGCGACCGAATGAACTTATTCGGTCCCGATTTCAGCGCACGACGGCCCTGTCCTGACCCTGGGACATTGAAGAGGTTGCCCAGGATGGAAGACTGATCAGATTGAGCCGTTGGAGGTCCGGGGACGGAGGTCTTCAGAGGCTTCGTGAATGCTACAGGGTTCCCGTCCCCAGAGGCCTCCCGGGGGCACAAAGAGAGGGTAACTGTAAGCACTCCAAAAAGGACTGGGTTCCATATCTCTTCGCTGCCTTTCTGTTCGTCGTGGCGCAGCGCACATCAACAAGACATCGTCTTGCCAGTGTGTGATTACCCCGCCGTAGTTCCTGATCCTCCGATGGATCCTGTGACCCACAGGAGCTCTGGGGCACCTTAGGATCTCCAGAGAATGTGCCCCTGCGTCTCTTGCAGCACGATGTTTCCGTTCGTGTGTGTCAGCTGGACGTGCTTCGACGCCTCCTCCTACGCTCTCCCAGGGGGGCCAGCGTGCTTCGCCTCGCTCCCCTCGCCTAGCCCCTGGGCCGCCACCGGGCCAGGGCGGCGTGCCCCCCAGGCATCCGACGACGTGTTTTTTCCAGTCCGCGGGGCCCCGAGGTTCTGGCCCAGTCGTCGTCCTCTTCACGCCCTGACTCAAGGGCAGAAAGAACTCCCCGACCCTGGTTTACGAGGCGCTGTGCTCTGAAACTCCTGTGGGCTGACAGGGTAAGCCCTGCGTAATGTGCCGCGTCCTGGCGGCTCTAGGCTTTGGGGGTTCCCAGGTAGTTTACAGACCACGCACTTGTAACCTAGGGTAGGGTCGTTTCTTCATCCCTCAACTGACAGCGTTTCGCCGGAGGGCGCCGACAGGGGTGAAATCGACTGCACGCAAGAGTGACCCTTCGCCGGAGCGACCCTGGGTGCGGGCTCGCCGGCCCCCCCCGACCGCCGAGCGCGATGCGGTAGTGGCTGCTTGCGCCTTTGGATCTGGCCACCTCGCGCCCCCTCCGTCCGCGCACGAAAGGTCACTCTTGCCCAGGGTCACTCTTGCGCGTCGCCTACGAAGAAAGAAGAGACGACGGCAGAGCCCCACACGGGCAGGCGGGGAGCGCGAGGCGGGCGGCGGTCTCGCCGGAGACTTCTCCACAATCTGTGTTTAGGAGTCGTGTCGGGACCGCCGATGCGTGCACCACCACCGCGCGCTCCTATTTCAGAGGCCCCTTTTTCTGGCGCTGCTACGCAGGGCCCCCTCAGTGCTCTCGCCTCCACGTTTCGCAAGAGGCTTCGAACCGGAGCAAGCGAGGACCACCGAGGAGTCTCACAGGGGGGGGACGGAGAGCTCGGGCCCGCCCGGGGCGGAAGCGTTCCGTCGGCCGTCTCGCTGGGGACTTCCTCACAGTTCACTCAGGAGTCGTGCTCTCGCCTCCATGCCAGCTGCTGGTTTTGGACGGCCACGATGCCGCGTAGAACATGCCCTGTGGTGCGCGTGGCCCTGTCGCAGCCTCACAGGTGGGGACGGGGAGCCGTAGACCGCCCGGTCCAGCGGCCGTGCCACTAGAGGCTCTGTTGCAATGTACTCGGGAGTCGTGCTCTCGCCCACATGCCAGCTGCATCCCGAATAGCGCTTCGGAGGAGGCTTCTCATGGAGGTGAGCAGAGACCACAGGGAGCCCGAGACCGCCCGATCCAGCAGCAGTTTCGCCTGAGACTCCGAGGCCCCTACAGGCCACAGCTGCCCCCCAGGTCCTGCAGATCCCCTGGGTCCCAGAGGTCCCGCAGGCCCCCCATGTCCCGCAGGTCCCACGGGCCCCACAGGTCCCACAGGTCCCACAGGTCCCACGAGTCGCACGGGCGCCTCGGGTCCCGCAGGTCTCGCAGGTCCCATAGTTCCCACAAGTCCCACAGACCCGAGCGGCCCCCCCAGTTCCCACATGCCTGACAGGTCCCACAGGCCCCGCAGGCCCCGCAGGCCCCGCAGGCCCCGCAGGCCCCACAGGCCCCACAGGCCCCACAGGCCCCACAGGCCCCACAGGTGCCCCATGCCCAACAGGTTCCGCAGTTCCCACTAGCCCCACAGGTCCCGCAGGTCATACAGGCCGCACGGGTCCCACAGCTCCCACAGGTCCCACGAGTCCCACAATTTCCACCGGTTCCACAGGTCCCACACATCCCACAGGTTTCACAAGTCCCACAGGTCCAAGAGGTCGCACAAGTCCCACAGGTCACACGGGCCCCACAGGTCACACAGATACTCCAGGACCTACAGGCCGCACAGGTCGCACAAGCCCCACGGTTCCTACCTGCCGCACAGATCCCACCGAGGGCAGGGGGGGCCTTTTCCGTGAGCCATCGGTGCAAGAATTCGCAAGCTCTTGCGCCAGCTTATCTGGGCTTGCGTGCCGATCCGAGCGATCCTGCTCGATATCGCTTCCGGCCAGCTCGATCCGATTCGATTCCGATATTCCGACGATCCGATGCGGACCGATGTTTTGCATTGCGCTCTTGTGCATCCTGGCGCGGCCGATCCGATTCGATCTCGACTCCGCGCCGATGCGGCCCGATTCGACGCACACTCCGATTCTATCCGACTAGCTCCTGCGGCGAACCCCAGTCAGCCCGTGCCCAGGCATCTGACGGCGTGTCTTTCCCAGGGCCCAGCCCATCAGGCCCCCCTAACCCCTTCCCCAGGGGCAGCTTCTCGTCGCGGGCGCACTCGCTGGTCCTGGGGCCCAACAAAGGCCCCCAGAGGTCGAGAGCGAGGAAAGCTCCAGGGCTGAACAGAGCAGATTCCCAGAGCTCCGACGCTGTGGCTTTTCACAGCGTGGACCCCCAGAGGTCTGGACGGCTAGGCCTCCTAGATGGGGTCCGAGCACATGGGGTCGGAGGATCGCACCGCATCGCCGATGCATCACCGATGCGGCCCGATGTGGAGCCCGATTCTCTCCTCGATGGCGTCGCCGATGCATCCCCGATGTCGACGATGCAGCGCGATCCTCCGACCCCATCTACTCCGACCCATCTAGGAGGCCTCTATGGACGGCTTCCCCCGGGGCCGGGCCATCCTCTCGCGGGCCGCTCTTCGACGCTCACGGGGCCCCTGCGAGGGCCACCGCAGGCCGAGAGACTGCTCGGCACCTCCCGCGGTCGCTACGTTCTGCAGCGAGAGGCAGGGGCTGTCGGAGTTCTGGGGAGGTTTCCCTGGTCGTTCCGCTGCCGAGGGGAGGGGCGAGAGCCCGAGGCGGGAATTTATCCGTATCCACCGCCTGGAGGGTCAGTTTTCGGAGCCTCGGTAGGCGGTGGATGTGGACATGTTCGGGCCCCCAGGGGGCCGAAATATACCCACATCCACCGCTTGCTGGGGCGCCAGGACGTCGGTTGCCAGGCAGTGGATGTGGATAAATCCCCGCCTCGCACAGGGGTTGTCGGAGTTCTGGGGAGGTTTCCCTGGTCGTTCGGCTGCCGAGGGGGGATAATGATGAGGAGGAGGAAATGAAGGAGGAGGAGGATGAGGAGAAAGAGGAGAAGAAGCAGATGGAGGAGGGAGAGGAGGAGGAGGAGGAGGAGGAGGAGGAGGAGGAGGAGGAGGAGGAGGAGGAGGAGGAGGAGGAGAAAAAGGAGGCGGAGGAGGAGAAGGAGGAGGCGAACGAGGCGGAGGAAGAGAAGAACGAGGAGGGGTGAGGAGAAGAAGGAGGAGGGGGGGGGGGGCGAGAGGCGACGGCGGGGAGGCGGGCGCTCAGGTCCTCTCGGAGGTGCGCGAGATGCACGGCAGGCCGCCTGGGGGCCCGCCAAAGCTTGGCTAAGCCTCGTCTCGTGCCTGGCGTCCTCCTGCCTCCTCCCTCCTCCTCCTCCTCCTCCCTTCCTGCCCCTCCTCCCACCCTTCTCCCCCCCCCCCCTTCTCCTCTGCCCTCCTCTCCCCCTTTTCCCCGCCCCTCTTCCCTCCTCCCTCTCCCGGTCTCCTCCCTCCTCCCTCCTCTCCTCCTCCCTCCTCCCTACCTCCCTCCTCCCCCCCTCCCTCCCTCCTCCATTCATTTTCCTTTGAACAGCTCCTCCCTGTCGCACCCCGAGGCCGGTCGAAAGGGCGGGCTAGGCACCCCGAAGCCGGTCGAAAGGGCAGGCCAGGCGTTTCGCCTGAGACTTCCTCTCCACTCAGGACCCTGAAGCTTAAAAGTTGGCAGCAGCTTCGCAGATGGAGGACGGGTGGTTTTGAACATGTGGCTCTCGCTGTTGCGCCGCGCACATTCGCTTAAGCCACTTGCAAGAGCTTCACGGATTGTCAACATGTTGCTCTTGCTTTAGGGCCGCGCACCTTCGTTTCAAACAGTTGCAAGAGTTTTGCGGATTGAGGGCGGGTCTTTTTTTAGGTGTAGTTCTCGCCCTAGCGCCACGCACGCACTCGTTTTCAAACCATTGCAAGGGTTTCACGGATTGAGGGCGGGTGGCTTTCAAAATGTAGTTCTCGCCGTAGCGCCGCGCACATTCGTTTCAAGTATGTGCAAGAGCTTCACGGATTGAGGGCGGGTCGTGGTCAAAATATGGTTCTCGCCTTAGCGCCTCGTTTAAGAAATCCAAGGGCTTCACGGATTGCAGGCGGTTCCTTTACAACATGTGGTTGTCGGTTTAGCGCCGCGCACATTCCATTAAACATGCATACGAGCTTCACGAATTCCAAGGGCCAACGTGCCAGAAATGGTGATTTGAAAGGACTCGGAATTATGAGGGCGCGACAGTTACGTTGATTCGCGGTGCTGAAGCCCCAGGAACGGTGTTCTGTCAGGATTCCAGATCGTCTAGACGCAACAGTGATATTGATTCGTGGCGTTGGAGTCCCGAGGAGGTTTTTTTGGGTACGCTTCAGGGCCTTCAAAGGGCTGTCTCCCAACGAGAATTCCCTCATTGGAAATGAACCCTTGTATGGGGCCTGTGAAGAGGGAGCTTGGAGGGAGGGTTTATTCCAACATCGTTGACGAATCTTGGTTTTGCACTGGTCCTCCTCTTCCTCCTCCTCCTCCTCCTCCTCCTCCCGCTGGCACTGCTGATGGGATGGCTCGGAAGCAACCACATGAATTGGCAAAGAGAAAGCGCGAGGGGGGGCAAGCAACTCATGACGCCGCAGCACCTCCCAACGCGAAATCATGTTGCTGAAGAAATGCGGCATACAGGTCCAAGGGAACGGAGAAATCCTTAGCCTGCTCAGGCCATCGTCCCGAAGAAGCCCCCCCTGTACACTTGCGGGGCAATCCTCCAGGAAAGCTGCAGCAACAAACCTGCAGAGGGCCGAGGGGTAAGAGGGGTGCTGTCCGATACGAGCCCGACCCGTCCCTCCCCACAGCCGCCAGGTGCCCTCCGGGATGCTGGCACCGTCCTGCTCCCTGCCAACAAGCCAAACGCCGAGTGAGCGCGGGGACGCTGATGCCTAGCAGCCTCGTCGGCTGCAGGCGATTGCAATCAGACATGCAGCGGCCCAGACGCATGGAGCAGGCGGAGGCGAGAGAAGCGATCCAAGCAAGTTCTGGCAGACGCCAGCTCGAGGGGGACTCGGCCGGCCACGGGGTTTCCGGGTGCTCCGTGATCGCGCACGCGCTTGTCACACGCGCACACACGAGGAGCAAGGCAGCCGTGCGCAAGAGCTCACTGCCCACAAAGGCCTGCCCCCGCTCCTGGGCCGGCGGGCCCTTCCTCCCCCGCGGGCGGGGACACGTCCGAACGGGACGCGGACTTCTCCCCGGCGCGAGGCGGCAGGGCGGCTGGGGTCGAGATCCACGGCGCAAGCGGTCGACCACGTCTCGCATGGAGGGGCCCCCCATGACCCCGATCACAATCCCCTGGGCCATGAGGCCCCTCCAATGACGCACAGTGCTGGGCTTCCGGAGGTCGCCCTCACCTCTGTCGTTGGCGACGTCTGCCGACAAAACCCGCAAGGGTTTACAAAACAGGGTCGATGTGTTCAGCACTTCAAGCCAGTCCTGGAGTCCTGGGATTGGCGCTGGCCTGAGAAGAGGTGGAGAAAGGAGACAAAAGTCTAGTCGACACGCAAAGTAAGGATGGGCAAGCTTCCCAAGGGTACCCTTGCATCTCTGCCCCTTCAGCCCCTCTTTAGCGGCTCTCGCTGGCCAGCCTCGTTCGACAAACGTTGGCCTGGCCCTCCAAGGCCCCTGCATCTTTACGATACGGGTTGACTGTAAAGGAGTCGCGGGGGACGGACGGGGCAGGCGCAGCTCGGACTGACGGACAGACGGACGGTTCCCCAGGACCACGCTCTCTGTCCCAACCGCACCTAAGTGGCAGGCGGCGCCGCGGGCGCCTGGGGGAGGAGCGGGGCACGGCGTGGGACCCGCAGAGCGGCGAGCAGGGGAGAGGTCCTTCTCCTCGCGGGCCCCGCTCTGACGGAGCTCCTTGCTCATCTTGGCACCCTCAGCTTTGTCCGACAGCACCTGCTCCACAGGTTTCGGTTGCGCGACGGCGGCGACCGCCGCCGGGAACTTCCTGCTGCGATGCCTCAAGTGGCGGACGATGCCTCCTCCTCCTCCTCCGTCCTCCTCCTCTCTCCTCCAGGGGCCTCCCCTCTCCTCCGCAGACCTCCAGGTGCGTCCAGACGCCCTTGGCGACCTTTGCTGCCTTCTTGGCGGCAAGCCTCTGGAGAGCTCCAGCGCCCTCCTTCCTCCCCCTCCTCCCTCGCCCCTTATCCTCGTCCTCCTCCTTCTATCCTGATTCCTTGTTCATATGTATATATGTCTATAAATATGTATGTATATATGTATATATGTATATATATATATATGTGTATATATAATGTACCCCGACTCTGCTCCACAGCCGGCCGATAGCCCCTCCATTTAGGACCCTCCATCCTACGAGTGAGGAAACAATGCAGGTTGATGGCTTTCTCCTCTCAACACTGACATTGTGTCGTCCATGTTGCAGAGTGCGTGGCAGGGGTGCCACGGGGCGCACACCTCGCGCGACAGGCCGAGACGTCGCTCTCGCCCCGGCGCCGCGCTCGCTTTTACAGAGGACTGAGCTCCCGCCTGGGCGCGGTGCACATCTTTCAGGAGGAAGACGAAAACCCCCCAAATATGGGAAAACATTGGGAATCTTCTCATTTGTGTTAATTTATTTATGTGTCCTTGGCCCCTTTAATCTTTCCAACGAGACTTTGTCGGCGCGCGCGCGGGCGGAAATGTCGCTCTTGCCTCGGCACTGCGCAGATCTCGCCCGAAAAAGCGGCGCTCTCGCCTCGGTGCGACAGAGGTCACTCGCCCGAAGCTTCGTGCGCAGGTCGCTCAGAAGCGGTGTTCCCGCGCGGGCACCGCGGCTTTTCCGGTTTCTCCGAGTTTTTGGGTTCTCCCGGGTTTCTCCGGGTCCTCCGGGTTCTCCGGGTTATCCAGGGTTTCTGGTTCTCCCGGGGTTCTCTGGGGCTTCTCCAGGGCTTCTCCGGGGGTTTTCGGGTGGTTCTCCCGGTTCTCCGCGTTCTCCGCGTGTATATTTGCGTTTGTGAGATCGATGGTGAGATCGATCGAGAAGTCGGTAATGAGATCGATGGTGAGGCCGATCGATAAGAAGATCGATCAGGAACCCGGGAACCCGGGAATCTCGCCGCCCTCCGAAATCGGCCTGGAACCCGGAACCGGGAACCCGGGAACCCGGAACCGGGAACCCAGGAACCCGGGAACCCAGCATGCGACCAAAATCGGCGGGGCACTTTCGCCAAATCCTTCAACATCCGCGAGGACCCCTTCAGTGCAAGCACTGATTGGGGAATGTACGTGTACATATATATATATATATATATATATATATATATATATATATGAGTGTATGTCTTGGAAAATATGTACCATCTCTGGTAAATGCGGGATCGATCGCGGGATCGATTGTGAGATCGATAATGGGGACGATATGTCGATATTGAGATCGATAGAGAGCCCGATACTTATAGGTCGTAGGATCGACTGTGAGGTCGATAAAAAGGACGATCTGTCGATATTGAGATCGGTAGTGGGACCAGTACTTTAAGTCGACTGAATGAGATCCGTAACGAACTCGACAGTGAGACCAGTAATGAAATCGATAGTTAACCATCGGCCCGGAATCAATGACCAGGAACCCGGGAACCCGGAACCGGGAACCTGGGAACCCAACGTGCTACCAAAATCGGCGGGGCAATTTCGCCAAATCTTTCAACACTGAACGAGATCAGTAATGAACTCGACAGTGAGATCGGTTGTGAGATCGATAGTTAACCATCGGCCCGGAACCAATGATCAGGAACAACCCGGAACCGGGCACCCGGGAACCAATGAGATCCGTATAATAAACTCGATCGTGAGATCGGTAGTGAACTATCGGCCCGGAACCAATGACCAGGAACCCAACCGGGAACCCGGGAACCCAGCGTGCCACCAAAATCGGCGAGGCACTCCCGCCAACTCTAGCAGCATCCGCGAGGACCCCTTCAGTGCAAGCGCTGATTGGGGAACAGAAAAGCCCTGGGGGGACTCCTTCGGGAATCCGCTCGGATTTTCTCGCTGAAGAGCCCCTGGGGAACTCCAGGATGAAATCTAAAGGATCCCTCGGGAAAGATGTGGATCTCTGAAGAGGCCCTAAGATTCCCCAGGGATTCCCTCGGAGGGCCCAGCCCCCAGGGGGCCTGGCCAGGTCCTGGCCGCAAGGAATCTCTAGGGAATCTCAAGGAGGGAATCTCTAGGGGATCTCAAGGAGGATCTGAAGGAGGAATCTCTAGGGAATCTCAATCTCAAGGAGGAATCTCTA